CTCACCTCAGCCTCCCAAAGGCGCGGGATTACAGGCTGAGCCACCGGGCCCGGCTCCAAAGAATATTTTAGTCAAAAGGAAAAGTCCGAAAGTTTGTTTGCTCATAAAGCCATTATAGAAAGCTCTGCTTCGACAACAAGAAAATCTTTATGAAGCCAAAGTGACAAAGGCAATAATTCGAGACAAAGACAAAAACAAAAACCAAAAACCCCAATTTTTAAGTGACCCAGAAGCAACTTAACAAAATCTTGATATACTAACTATTCCGAGGCTTGCGCTATGGGAAATACAAAAAAGTTATTGCAAATTCAGAACAAATCAATGAAAAAGTAGCAGCTTTGGCCAAGCATGGTGGCTCACACCTGTAATCCCAGGACCACGGGAAACTGAGGTGAGGAGAGGCTAGAGCCCAGGAGTTCAAGACCAGTCTAGGTAACATAATAAGACCTGTCTCTACAAAATAAAATAAAATAAAATAAAATAAATTAAAAACAGCCAGGCAGGATGGCGCGCATCTGTAGTCCCAGCTCCTGGAGAGGCTAAGGTGACTGCTTGAGCCCAGGAGCTTGAGGCTGCAGTGCGCTATGATGATTGTACCACTGCACTCTAGCCTAGGCAACAGAACAAGACTCTGTCTCCTAAAAAAACCCAAGGTTCTAAACTATTTTCAGTTCAGCCAAAAGATTCACACCTAATAAAAGTCCCATGAAGGCAGGGGACAATATTATTTGTTTATTCATAATAACTAGTACAAATATATTCTAGCTACGTTAGCTATTAGTAGCTCAATATTAACTTTGAAAATAGCCACCCTGATAACTTATAGCATTCTAAAACATTTTCTCCATTTTTCCAGGTATCCATAAGCTATAACATTGCCTTCTCCAATATTTACACTTTATTTTTTCTCCTGTCTTGTTGCATTATCTAGCACTTCTTCAAATAAGTCAAATAATAGCAGTATTGATTGGCTTCCTTGTCTGGCTCCCATCTTTTTTTTTTTTTTTTTTTTTTTTTGAGTTGGAGTCTCACTCTGTTGCCCAGACTGGAGTGCAATGGCCGCTCCCGGCCACCACAGCCTCGATCTGCTGGGCTCCGGCGATCCTTCCGCCTCAGTCTTCCGAGTAGCCGGAATTACAGGCATGCGCTACCACGCCCGGCTGATTTGATTTATTGTAGAGATGAGGTCTTGCTGCCCAGGCAGGTCTCGAACCCGCGGGCTCTGGCAATCCACTCACCTCAGCCTCCCAAAGGCGCGGGATTACAGGCTGGGCCACCGAGCCCAGTTGGCTCCCATCTTTAACTGGATTACCTCTGGTTTTCCTCACACCAGTAGGCAAGAAGTGGAGTGTGGTTTAAAATATTGATCCACTTATCAAAGACTTCCTTTTTTAAAGATCAGGAATGGACTCAAATTTGTATTTAAATGCAGAAAACATTTAAAATTAAGTTGCTTTGACTTATTAATAAATTAATTATGCTAAAATATTTTCTAATAGTGAATTATCCCCACTTTCTGAAAAACGACATTTGGTCAAGGCAATGTTCTTTTAATATACAGCCATAATTTTCTGGCAAATATCAATTAGGTTTTATATCAATGCACTAGTGATGTTGGTGTGCTTTCAGCCATGTTTTAGTACCGGTGTTGAACTAAATTCACAAACAGGAAGCTTTTCTTCTTTATGCTGTGGGTCAGTTCCTTATGTTTGAAACAATTCAGCCACCAAAGTGGTACTCTTTTATTTATTTATTGAGATACAGCTCTTTGCCATCTCTCTTAAATCTTTCCACATGCATATACAGATCTGCTTGCATTTTTCCAAAATTATCTCAATTTGAATATTCTTGAATTATTCACTTCATCTACCAGTTTATAATTTTTAGTCTTAAATGCTTTGGAAAACTGAGTCTAAGTGTCCATTTATCGCAAACAAGAAGTAAAGAGTCATAAGAATAGGAAAGGATAAAACAAAACTGCCATTCAATTATTTCGACACTATTTTTTAGAGTAGAATTAGATAAGATTGCTAGATGCACAAGTCACCTTTTCACTCTACTTTCAGCAAACAAATTACTATTTTAAAAAATTACCACTTATAATAGCATAAAAAACAAAGCTGCCAGAAATCAAACAAGATACATAAATAGACAGCTGATTAAGACGGCAAAATTTAAGTTAACGGAGAAGACCACCACGTTCATGAATTAAAAGACATTGTAAAGACATCAATTCCTCAAGCTGATCATATGATCAAGATGATCAAGCTAAATGATCAAGCTATATGCTCAAGCTAAACATACAGGCACAATCCCCATTGAGGCCCAGCAGATTCTCTGGAGAGTTCACAAGTGATTTCCAAAGTTTGTATGTGACGGTGTTAGCAAAAAAAAAAAAACCACCCCCCAACCCCCCAAAAAACCACCAAGACACCCTGAAAGAGGAAAAAAATTGGAGATGGGAGAAAAGAAGAGAGATCAAAACAGTCTAAAAGGCTACAATACTTAGAACGGTATTGAGCACAGGGATAGACAGACAGACCAGCAGAACAAAAACAGCATAGTTTGGCAGCATCCTGGGAGTGAACAACCAGTACTTCATCCCTAGGTTGAAACTTCTAAAGAAATTCTTGAACACATGCATCGGGATACACAGAGAAGGTCTGAAACAGCACTGTTCAAACAGCTGAAAATGGACACAGGCCAGAGAGCCATGAATTATGGACAGACAAATATGGTGGCATGTTCATAAAATGGAATATCAAGTAGTGAAAAAATACAGCTGTACGTATCAGAGTTTTTTAATGTTGAGAAGTGTAACTCCACTATACAAAATACAAATACAGACAAAATGCCTTGCCTAGAGAAACGTAAGTAGCAAAACTAAAGAAAGACAAGAAAATGGTCACAAAAGTCAGAATAAGTAGTTTGCTTCTTAGGGAGCTAGAGGGAGATGTGTTCTCCTGGCATGGGCACACACGCAAGAGGCTTTAAAAAGGCACCGGCATCACTCCACGTCTTAGCCTTGACAGAACTGCTTTATTGTTCTTTAAACTACACATAAACATTTATTTCACAGCAATTTTTAAAAGACTACTTTTAAGAAGTTACATTTTTTTTGAGTTGGTGTCTCTCGCTCATCCAGGCTGGAGTGCAGGGGCACGCTTACAGCCACCACAGCCTCCATCTGCTGGCCTCAGGCGAGCCTTTACTCCTGTGTCAGCCTTCCAAGTAGCTGGAACTACAGGTGTGCACCACATAGCTAATTTTTTTTCTTTAATTGTAGAGATGAGGTCTCGCCACGTTGCCTAGGCTGGTCTCAAACCCCTGGGCCTAGGCAATGCTCTTGCCTCCACCTCCCAAAGTGCTGGGATTACAGGTGTGAAGTTACTATATTAACAGTTTGATCTTTACTTTCAAATGGCAATAAAGGTTTACTGATTCACAGCATCCCGAAGAGAACAGACATCTGCATCCTCACAGCTAACAAGAAGTCTGAAGACAACATACCTTATATAGCCCAAAGCCAGGATCGATAAGACAGGCACGAGCTGATGTGGACGGCTGACTGGAAGGTCCCACCCTTGGTGCTTTCTTTACTTTAGGTGGACTATAAGAACAGGGTTTGGCCTCATCAGTCTGTGTAGATGTGCCAGGAAGATGGTCAGGGTCTGGGCGAACTAGTAGCTGAATTATGTCATTTAGTCCAACATCATAGTCAAATAAAGTGTATCCATTTTCCAACTAGAAAAGAAACAGAAAAAGACGTTGAATGCCTCTCTCAAAACTTATCTTTCTACATCTTTATTTGCCCATATGTCCCAGTTAGACTCTGGAAAATAAAATTAATAGCATTGCAATTGAGTGATTTTTGAAATCATTCTTATTACTTCCTAGCCTCTGATGTCAGCATCTTCTCTGGACCTCAATAAGTTAAGAATCACTTCATATCCGTCACAGCAAAGAGCAAACACTGACCATGGAAACCAAAAATGTATCGTTGCTGCTGTGACCTTGTGACCCAGGCAGAAAAACGCTCGATTTAATTTCTCATCAAGTTTTGTTTTATTTCAAAGAGCAGTGCCTACATCCACCGCAAGGAAAAAAAAGGCAAACTCTGAAGGCCAGTTGTTCTACGATTTTTTGTTCACAAAGACATTAAGTCAAACACTTTATCTTTCTGAAACACTGTTGTTAATTTTTTAAAAGATCTAGCAGGAAAAAAAAAACCCTACAAACTGTAGTAATTATACTTCTTGCTCAAGCTACTACATTTGCCTAAAGTTCTCTAATTCTCTCCATCTGTAAAGGTCAAGTCTTCCAGAATGAAAAGTGAATAAATTATTTTGCACCCCACTCATATTTTGGCAAGAGTTATGGCTTGAATAGTGTCCCCCCAAATATGTCGAAATCCCAATCCAGAGTATCTCCAAATGGGACCTTATACAGAAATGGAGTCGTGCACAGAGGTAATCAAGGAATAAATTTAACCCTTTGCACTTGGAGATATTTTGCAGTTCACCCATCAGCAACCTGATTATTTTTTACAAAACAGTAAAAGACCAATCACTTCATATTAAATAGTACAGCATGGGAACCAATTATTTTACTGCAATGATATTTGGCTAATGATGAAATTTTGAACACAGAAGAACTTATTTACAAAAAAAATCAAAATTTTATATCTTTAAAATCTTGTATTTTTCTAGCATGTGGTAACTTGTGAAACAGTCAACACGCATAGCAGGTTCAATGATATGTGTTGTGCAAGAGTAATTTGTTTAACATCTTCCACCTGGCGTTTTTCTATTCGAGCAGACAATGCAGACTCGTTTGCTTCCTCTCACATTAATAACATGTAATTTATTGTTCAGTCTGTTGCTTGAAGACAATGTGGAAGGGTGCACTTGTGATTCCTGAAAAACACTTCAACTGATCAATCTGAAGGTTCACAAATTTCAAGTGGGACATAGGTTTTTCATTGTTTTTAAATGGAAAACTTCAAGGAAACAATTTTTTTAAAAAAAATCTGCACTTGCATAAGTTTGTCCTATATAATTACCAACAATCTCTTTATGTCCCCTGAGAGGGGACATCCAAGTGCAAAGGGTTAACCAAAAAAAGTGTAAAGCTGTTGTGGCCCCTTCAAAATTTTTATGCTGAAGTCCTAACCCCCAGGGTCTCTGAACACAAGAGAATTTGGAAACAGGGTCTTTACAGAGGTAATTAAGTTAAAAATGAAGTCATCAGGGTGACCACTAATTAATACATCTAGTGTCCTTATGTAAAGGGGACACAAAGACACAGCAGGAAGATATGAAGACACACAGGAAGAAGGTGGCCATGTGACTCCAGTGAGAAAAGCCAAGAAACAAGGTTTCTGGCAAACTCAGACACGTGCAAGGAAGGATTCTCCCCCCTAGAGCTATCAGCCAGCACAAGGCCCTGCAGGACACCTTGAGATTATCTCTATTATTTCTCTTGTTTTAAGTCACTCACTCAGGTTTTGATACTTTGTTGCAGCAGCCCCAGGAAACTAAGTCTCCACCTTGTTGCTTTATAAAGTTCAACGGGCTACTCACTGTGATACAATGAAACAAGAAGAAAACTAAACTTCTTGAAGATCAGCACTATCATTTCCCCAGAAACAAGACCAATGTAAACATTGCTCATTTCTCCCTCTTCATATGTATTACTTGTCACCCTTCACAACTCTCTAATACTGTAGACCATATTTAGGAAGGCAGCCAAAAGGAAATAAGTCTATCCTGAATTATAAACTTATGAGACTATTAGATCAGTCCTTTTAATTCAAGAGGTCCAAGAACACTAGCACAATCCTGTATCCTGCAGGTATTCACATACGTCAAACAGAACAAGAAATCAAGATAGTTCTTATAGGGACAGCCATGCTAATATTGTTGCTTACTTTATTAATTCTGTAGTAATATAAAGTGTTAAAATACTTTCATTGCTCACTTATTTTAGAAAGCAGGACTTATTGAGGGGACAGAAAAGCTCCCACAGCGGGAGGGGATCCGATGGGACTGCCCTGCCTCAAGGAGCAAAAACGCCATCCACATCCTCATTTTGACATTCTCCAATAAACAAAAATAAACCACAAACAACAACACCACCGATTCTGCAAGAGTTAAAAAAAAAACCCACACAACTTGCTGGGCTCGTGCCTAACTCTGCAGTCTCAGCACTTTGGGAGGCATAGGCAAGAGGATTGCCTGAGCCCAGGAGTTCCAGACCAGCCGGGGCAACATAGCAAGACCTCATCTCTACAAAAAATACCAAAATTAGCTGGGTGTGGTGGCACGCGCCTGTAGTTCCAGATACTTGGGAGGCTGAGCTTAAGCCTAAGAGGTCGAAGCTGCAGTGAACTGTGATCCCTGCCACTGTGCTCTACAGCCCAGGTGGCAGAATGAGACCCTGACTCAAAAAAAAAAAAAAAAGGAAAGAAAGAAAGAAAATAGAAATGACCAACATCTACGAGTTCCAAGCATGTAACTATAATCCATCAGTGTCTCCACAGTAAATGTTTGAGAACCACGTGCTAGAAGATGGAATGAAGAATTTACAATACTGAGAAGCAGGGATAGTTAGGACTTTTTGTCAGACACACGCTCGGGTCTGAGAAGAGAAACTCTAGGTAACAAGAAGTGCAACAGTGATGCCAGGGATTGCTGGGATTGCTGAGATGCAAATGCCAACAGGCAGCAGCTGTGAAGGCAACGGCAAAGTCATCTGCAAGAACTACCGACTAGGGACGTAGGTGAAGGGCGTAAATAACTCGCACGTGCCCATCGTCACGTGCCATACATCCATCAAATCCACACGTGTCCCTTTAAGTAGGCAAACGCTCTTACTTTACGTTCTGAGTGCAAGCCAAGGAAGGGGGGCAAGAGGCAACTTCTTCAGCCACCGCTGAGGCCTCACACTTGCCATCTATCTTAAGGCTACTCCGAGCGGCAGCGAGGGGCAGGCTGAGAAGGGCTGCAAAGGAATCCTTTCGGAGGAAGAAAAGCTTAGAGACCCACCACATAACTCTCCTCAGAAAGACCCGACCCCCGGGGTGCTTCAAAGCCAGCCTCCCAGGTGGTCGCAGGCTGCCTCCTCTAACCAGAACGTGCAGCCCGAACCGCGGCCTCCCTTTGGTCCTCAAAAGCCGAGTCAATCACGCTGCGTGGCAGACTTAATTTACACACAGAGCACCTGGGGACCTCGTTAAGCCGCAGGTTCTGCTCCAGGAGGTCGGTTTTGGGAGGCCTGGCGCAAGGCGGCCGGGGGAAGCTAGCAGCGCACGTCCTGAGAATCCAGGGTCCGCGCTTGGCACGGCAAGAGACCAACCAAGCGCCAACGCTCATTTCACACTCTGGCGTGCGTCAGAGTCGCCTGTGAGGTCTAGCTGAAGCCAACTGCTAGCGGCTCGGGCGGGCCGCCCATCTACAGCACATGTGCACGAGAGGTCCTGACCCGTACCCAACACCAAAAGCAGAAGCCCAGGGGGGTGCGGGGCAACCATTTAAGCCGCAGACTCCGAATCTGCTTCCGCTTCGATGTTTTTCGGCGTGTGGCGGCGAGGCACTTCGAGGAAGGGCGCCCTCCCGCCGAGGGCCAGGCCAGCTCGGCCGACAGGGCGGCTGCGACGCCGACCCCCGCGTCCGCGGCCACCTGTCAGCGCCC